GGTGCAGGTGCAAGACGCTGGCACAGTGACCCTCCACCGAACTGTTTAACACTGAAGCCGTCTGTGAATGGCAAAGCTAAAAGAGCACACTGTAACACATGTTCTCTGGGGCTCCAAGGGTCATGGGCAACCCCTAGATGCTGCTGCAAACCTGCACAGAGTTCTGCTCTTGCCAGTTGCCCAAAAGTGCTCATCCTGGCCTCTGCACCTGCTGACCTGCATGCTCCCCCTCCCACAAGGGGTTGAGCCCTGCAGGCTGAGTCAATGAGCCAAACTCTTCATGAGTCCTACGAAGGGGTAAAGGGAAATATCTCATTTCTCTATGAGGGAGAGTCAGTGGACATAATCACTGATAAGATTAGAATCCTGAGTATTATTGAAATGGGGAATAGCTTTGAGAAAATTACCCAGTATTAAGAACAAAGACAGATGAAAAATATGACAGAGGCTAAAAACATGGAGGGCAGAATGAAAGATTCAACCTTTACCTAAGAGGACTTCCAGAAGAAAAATAGAGAAAACGGGGAGAAAGACAATATTCATGGAGATAATGGCTAGGGATATTCCCAGATTGATGAAAAACTTAAGAGTACAAGTGCCAAGTAAAAAAAATAAAAATGAAACGAAATATATCTATATCTAAATATATTACAGTCAAATTGTGGAACACCAAAAAATAAAAAGAAAAATCTTTAAAACTACCAGAGAATAAAGACAGATTACCTACAAAGCAACAAGACAGACAACAGACTTTTACGTTACAACAGTATAGGCCAGAATACAGGTAACTAATATCTTCAAAGTTCTGAGGGAAAATAACTGTCTGAGAGAAATTCCCTGTCTGAGGGAAAATAACTGTCAATCTAGATTTCTAAACCAAGTTAAATTATTATTCAAGAATGAGTACAATAAAAATATTTCCAGAAATAAAGTGAGAAAATAAAGAACTCCCTTTGCTGAGGGAAACACTAGTGTTTACATTCAGAAAGGAAGCATTGATGTGGAAAGGATGGTGAACAAAGATACTGGTAAACACATGGGTGAATCTTGATAAGCATTGACTATTAAAAACAATAATAATGGTGATGAATAATTTGGTAATATACAAACAAAGTGAGAGCGGCATGGTTGGGTTAAAACTAAGTCCTTGAATTACTTTATGGGAGGGTAGAACTACTGAGAAACTTTAGACATTTAAGTTAAAAAAACACAAACAAAATGTATGATTTGCAAACCAGTGGGAGGAAACAATATCTAAAAATTGACCAATGGCAAGAAAGGAAGAAAAAGAGGAATAAAAGATAAATGTAAGGATAAAAATGATATAAATACATCCACATTTATCATTAATCATAATAAATGCAACTGGACTAAAATTTATGAGTTTAGACAGAATCTTGGTTAAATTTTAAAATCCCAGATTTAGCTACATGCTGTTCATAAAAGTCTTATCTAAAACATAGAAAACATGGAAAGTGATAGAAAATAAAGTATGCCCGACAAATACTAACCAACATGGTACAGCCATGTTATTAGTAAACAAAACATACATTAAAACAGCAATTATTAAGGTTAAAGTTTCACAACATATTGATAAAAAGAATAATCCACTAGGAAGATAAAACAATTCTAAGTCTGTCTGTACCCAAAACATAGCCTCAAATATATAAACAAAAATGGATAGGATTACAAGGAGAAACTGACAAATCTATAATCAGTGGTAAATTTTAATATGCCTCTTGGTGTTGGCAGATAAAGCAGACCAAAAATTAACAAGAATGTAGAAGATTTTAACAACACCAAAAACTTGAATTGACATATATATAACTCTCTTCTCCCAAATTACACAATATTGTCTTTTAAAATACACAAAGATTATTTATCACATTCTTTTACCACAATGCAATACAATTAGAATTCAGGGGAAAAAAAGATGATTTAAAAAAGGGAAACACTTGGAAATTAAAATAAAGTAGATTATAAAACCAGCATGTGCAATATCATCACATTTGGGAAAATATAATATCAATGTTATGCACTGAAAATAAAAGGTTGGGAATAAGGAACCAAAATGATAACCATGGTTATTTACAGTTTGTTGGCTTACAGGTGATTTAAAATTTTGTGTCATTTTTAAAGAGCTTTTCCATGTTGTTAAAGTTTCCTGCTTGGAGCATGTCAGTGTCTTAGTCCGTTTTCGGTTGCTATGAGACAATATCTGAGACTGGGTAATTTATAATGAAGAGGTTTATTTAGCTCAAGATTCTGAAAGCTCAGAAGTCCAAGAAGCATGGGTTCAACATTTACTTGTCTCCTGGAAAGGACCATGTCTTGTTTCATCTCGCAGTGGAAAGGTGGGAGGGCCAGCAGGCATGTGCAGAGAGAGCAAACGTGAAGAGCAACTTCATTCTATAACAGTCCACTCTTTCAGTGGGTAATCCAATCCCATGAAAGTGAGTAATCGCTCTTGCAAAACAGCATTGATCTATTCATGAAGTATCTTCCCCTATGTCCCAAACACCACCCAATAGGCCTCACCTTCCAACATTGCTGCATTGAGAGCAAAGCCTCAGCATGTATTTTGGTGGGAACAAACTACATTCAAATTATAGCAGTCAGTATGTATTTTTTCTAATTAGAATAAAATCAATAATGAATTTTATTTAGGCTAACATATAGAATAATAACTTGCCTAGCCTATTGCAAAAGCCTTCTAACTTATCTCTTTCAGTTCTTGCCTTCTAATACATTCTCTTCCCCCAAGCACTTAGAATAAAATCCAAATTCCCAACCTTAGCCTATGAGATTATACATGACTTTGCTCCAGCCTACATCTCCAACCTTACCTCTAATTGACCTCCCCCTGGTTTACTCTAGGCACACTGACTTTTATTTCCTTGAACTCCCCAAGCTGTACTCACCTTGGATCTTCACGTTTGCTACCCCTTGCTCCCAGAAGCCTTATTGCTCTCCTTCCCCCAACACCCTCTTTACCTAACTCCAGGTATTCTTTATTTTTCAGCTGAAATCTTACATCCTTTTTTCTGTTACCCCTCCCCAGACTAGGTTTGATTCTCTGATATTCTCTAGGTACCTGTTCTTTTTCTTCATAACAGCAATTATAATTTGAGCATAGGCATTTGTGTGTTTATTTGGTTATTGTTTGTCTCCCTTGCTACACTGTCTGCTTCATGAGAGCAGGAATCACATCTGGTTTGCTGCTGTATGCTTAGCACCTGGTATAGTGCTAAGCATGTGGTGAGTCCTCAGTGAATATTTGTTGAAAGAATGCATAAATGAGTGATTGAATAAATAAATGAATTACTGAATCCCCACAAATGTTACTGGAGATTATGGAATAAAAAATGAGATAAAGGAGTTCATGAAGGAGATATGTATGTAGCCTACAGCAAGCCACAATTGTGGCTTAACTTCCAGTTCTCCTGGTAATGGCTAAGATTCAGTAATAAATGCTGACAAGGTAAATTTCCTTTTGTATTCTCTTTTCCCCATTTGCTTTAGTGAACTATTCCTCTTTAAGGAAAGAAAGCACTGTGAATTATCTTGAAAACAAAACAACAAAATAACTACTGTAGTTGTTAATTATGAAGCCAAGGACAGTGACGTAGGATGATTTCTAGATGGGTAAAAGTCACTGGATCACATTTCATTGTTCTCCAAGCTGTTTCATTGTACAATTGATACTGTACCACATAACCAAAGCCCAATTCAAGTTGGCTTGGATAGGCTCTATCTTTTCTTCTGGAAACAACTTGTACACGTTTAGTCAACTTGGGTAAGAATAATCTTTGTAATTAGGGCCAGTACAAATAATCTTTGTAATTAGGGCCAGTACATAGGAAAAAGATACATTTACCACCAACTTACTGTTGCTCTCTAAAGAAGAAAAAAAATACTGCTTACTGTGATGGATAATTTTAGGTGTTTACTTGACTGGATTACAAAATGCTTAGAAACTTGGTAAAGTATTATTTTTGGATATGTCTGTGAGGATGTTTCCAAAGGAGATTATTAGTATGTGAGTTAGAGTGGACTAGGTGGGGAAGATCTGCCCTTAATGTAGGTGAGCACCATCCAAATTGCTGGGGGTCCAGAGAGAACAAAAACAGAGAAAAGGCAAATGTGTTCATCTATCTTGCTAGACCTGAGATACACTCTTCCTCTCCTGTCCTTGGACAACAGCACCAGGCTCCCAGCCTTTGGACACAAGCACCTCCCCTCCTCAACCCCTCCAGTTTTCAGGGTTTTGACCTTGGACTGAGAGTTACACCACTGGCTTCCCTCGTTCTGAAGCCTGTGAACTTAGACTGAGCCACTACCAGCATTCCAGGGTCTCCAGCTTGCAGACAGCTTGTTATGGGACTTCTCAGCCTCCATAATTGGGTAAGCCAGTTTCCCTAATAAATTCCCTTCCATATGTCTCTGTATATCTATCCTATTGATTCTGTTTTTCTGCAGACCCCTCACTAATACAGTTACTGCTTAGACTTGCCCCACAGCTTAAATTTGGGACATAAACTTAAATTCTTAAAATATAGACTTTTAAAAAAATGTTAAAAAAGCAAAGTAGGACACTCTTTAGGTCGTGTAACATCATGGACTTAAGTTCACAGACTCTAGCTTCCTTTCAGCTAATCCCTCCCTCAACTCTTCCCCTCAGAGAAGAACGTCATGTTGGTAGCTGAGTGTCAAATTCTCTGTAAGAGCTTAGTGTGTTAATGCAACCATTTTTTCCCCAAATCTCAGTCTTTTCATTCTATTTCACCGTTTGATCTAGTCACAAACTAGATGCTTGGTAGTTGTACATGTATAATTAACTCTAAAATATATCTGCTAGAGTATTTATTCCCTTAATAGTTCACATAGAAGTGATGAGCATCTTTTCATGTTCATCTTTTCAAAATTTACTCCTTGGTAACTCCACAGTTCTATAATAATGTATGAAGTCAAGTCACACAAGCTTTATAATTTATTCATAAATAATTCTGAAATAAACATATGCAATACAGTATAGAAGAGGCAGGTGACATTGAGACAATTCCTAAAAACAGATATGTCTAATTACAAAGAAAGATAGAAAATGAGAACAAACAGGATTTGTAAATGTGTCAAACTTTTCTTTATATTTCTTTTAAAGTCAAGGATTTCAACTGACTAAATATAAACATACCCAAAAGGCAGTGTTAATAACTATGCACGTAAAATATGTTTTTAACCTAACTATATCTTAAGCATTAAAAGTACAACTGAAGAAGCCAAATAATCTGTATGCTCAAAAGTATTTCTTACGCAAGTAAACAAGTTGCTAGTATGGTACATCAAACTATTTGTTACCTGTATATTCCAAAACAATCGTGAGAGCCTAAACAGAAGAACACTGTAAGTCAATTGATCAAATCAACGAAAAAGCAACCAAATAAATTTCTCTGGTAATAATAATGACAGATTTCTATGCAGCCAATTGTATCACAGTGTAAGTATAAATAATTAGCATAAATTTTTCAGACTACTGAAATGAGTGGACCAACCATTTCATGATCATGTTTCAATTATGTAATTGATCATGTAATATTCTAATTTTTAACCTGTAAATATTCTACTCAGCTATCACTATAAAAACTGAGTAGTTTATTTGCATGAGAAAACATATTTCCTATTTTTTATTGTTTTTTGAGACAGAGTAGCTGGGATTACAGGCGCCTGCCACCATGCCCAGTTAATTTTTGTATTTTTAGTAGAGATGGGGTTTTGCCATGTTTACCAGGCTGGTCTTGAACTCTTGATCTCATGTGATCCACCTGCCTTGGCCTCCCAGAGTTCTGGGATTACAGGCGTGAGCCACTGTGCCTGGCCAAGAAGGCATATTTCCTAAAAGAGTAATAGAAATGACTGTAAATGGACACAATATCACTAGAATTGAATTTTGTCCCTTTCCAAAATATGTCAGAATAAAGAGAACATAGAAAACATTTTTTTAAAGTTTTTTAATTGTTACCAATGCCATTTTGCCACTTCTTAGCTTTTTCATGCAGTGTCAGAAGAAATTAGAAATTAGCAATCTCTAACTCTCTTTTCATAATCATGACGATTTCAAGAGTTTCGGTCTCTGAGTTATAGAATCCTTTGGCACTGGCACATTCTACTGGTGCAGGAAGAGTTATCAACAGCTTCCTAAAAAACCACAACAACATAAAAACTTAACATTAGCTTCCTTAAATGATATATCACTTTCAATAAGACAATAGAAAACAACGTATGCCACTAGAATGTTAGAAACCAAAAAACCCCCAATATTTAGATGGTGTAAATATTGGATCAAAAATATGCCTAAATAATGCAAACAGTATACCCGTTTTTTGGACTTAAAAATCCAAGCAGTTGTTTTGGCTTCCCTGTTTTTTTTTCCTAATTGACTTCATTTTGTATAGTCTCAGGTTATGTTTACAGGTATAGAAATAAAACCATGCAACTTTTAAGTTTGCTGGACAGATCTCTTGCCACTCATAATTGGAATGTGGCCGATTGATACAAATATGAAAATTGGAATGGCTCTATAACACTTCTGCTAACACAGCTCTAAGCAGACTCTCTACCACAGGTGTAGTTTTTGAAACTGAGACTAGGAATGATTTCAATACCAAATCAATGAAAGTGCTTCTCTCTCCTTGCTTCTGATTCTTTCTACTACACATTGACAAAAATTCCCTGTGATAGATGGTTAGGTTTATTTTGTGGTTTATGATTCAGTTGCTGGATAGTTGTATGTTTTAGATGCATTGCTGGGATGAGGCATCCATAATTCTGCTGTGTTGGCATGAATCTAAATTATGCATGGGGTCAGCACATGCTGGCTTAAGAAGAAAATTAAATGCATGAAACACTTGTTACCTCACATTTTCAGTAGAGAAGGTCTGAGTATCTCTATAAAAGGTGGACAGAATGCTCTTTTAAAGTCATGAATCATTTAGAAGGTATAATATCCAAATAAGTAAAGGAATATGGTATTTTTAGGGGCACTTATTGGGTTCTTGAACTGAAAACTAGTATGTATTTGAAAACAAAACCCTTGAAAATCAATTCCTTCTTTATTCCTTTGGAAAAACCTGAGTTCAGAAGGCTGGGTTCATTAACGGTACTTATTACACGTTTATGGACCCTAAAGGAGAAATTTTCTGTGACTCTTATTCCATTGAATGTGGGGTAGAAGAAACACTTCACCTAAAAACATTGCCATTAAGTGGCTGTGCATTATAATGTAGACTGTGATATTTGGCATCTCAGAAAAAAAAGTGAGTGCAAAAACCATTTAGAGTCCATCCTTTAAAGCTTTTTACAATATAGGTTGTGCTAGACTTAGATTTCCTTTATACTTTATTCTATAAATGATAATATATTCACTTTAAAAAGAAAGTAAAGCATAGTACATAGCTTCATTGCACTAAAAGACAACTATAAATCAGCTAAAGAAGGAGTTCCAATGATAATGTGCACTTCTCTGTCCAGAGAGAAATAAATTCAAAAGAGACAGTTAGTGGCCATTGGAATGATCCACCTATGCCTGCGTTTCTGTCTAGTTCTAAGTAGTATGGCTTAACATAATAAAACGTTGAAGAGTAGAACTGTACAACTGATTTAGGCTCTTAGGAGAAGGGAAGTATTTTCATCGTCTGTTTTACTGTCTTATTATATATACTGAGATTTACATTTAAACAAAATAAAAATTCTACAAACAGTTATCCATGTACAATTCATTGAAGGACAGAAATGTATTGTATCTCGGTGCTCCCTTAGTGTCTAGTGGAAGACTTTATAAATGTTGAGTGAATAAATAAATGAATGAGTGAGTAAATAAATGAAGCAAGTATTCAGGTCACCACAAATAACATTTGAATAATTACCATAGATTAGTACTATAACATAAGAACAAACATTTAAACCCAATACCTCTACTTCTACATTGATAATGTATTTGCATTTTAAGAAGTTACAGTCTAGGCAGTGATCTAATATTCATCCGGTGTTAATTTTCATCAGAAATTAAATGCAAACAATACTATATGAATGTAAATACAAAAAATTTTCTCTATAGTGAACTCAAATTTAGAGACTTAAATGCTTATATTTATATTAGAGAGTTTAAGTTGATGTTACTCACAAGAGATTTAAGCAAAGGACATCCTGGTTCCCAGCATATTCACATAATGCAATTTTTACCTTATATAATTAACAAAATTATTTGATTTACATATCTGGGTTAAAAACCTTTTTAAGGTTTCCTGAAGGAGACATAACTATTTTCAAAGAAAGTGCAGAAATGGTTACTGAGCCACAATTCAGCTATTTCATTTAGAAAACTTCTTTTTTAGGTATCAGTCTTTGAAAATCAGTCAACACCCAAACTAAATTAAAGGAGCACAGCAAATGTGTGATTAATCTAAAGCAGCACTCAACCAAAAATTAGTTTTCATTTTTCTTTAGAATGTATTTTTATTATCACATTCAGGTATTCATTTATGAAATTCTTAGCATTCACTTAGAAAATAATGAAATCTCATATGAACACTTAAGTCAAGAGATCCTGGTAAATTATCCAATTTTCCCCGTCTTTCCTCCTCTCTCCATTTACTCCATGTTGGGAATCTACATGCCAAAACAACCAATTGAAAACAGTGAATAATTCGGTATACTGTTTTATTCATTTTGATTTTATAATGCTAAATAGCTGGGTTTTATTGATAATTTGAATGCAATTGACTAGTGTTTGACAGAAACCACTGGTCAATTCAGTTAAAATATATTTGCTTGTTTCTGTCTTATAGATACAAGAACATGCCCTCTCAAATGTTTCTTAGATTGGATAAACATAGCATTATATGATATCAAAGTTGGAAACTAAAGAAAGTAGATATGAATATCAATAAACTTAAAAACAAGACACATTTCTGATAATGCAATTTCAGAGAATAGGATGGCTCTAAAGGATTCTCAAGTATTTAGGAAACATGATAAAAACCTTTATTCTATCTTCTGTCTTCTTAGTTAAGCAGGTTTTCTTAAGCGATGGTACCTCTCTGCACTGAGCATTTAATATATAAGTACACTATGATCTAATGACCTAGTGTAGCCCATGTTCTATGTGGAAAAGTACATTTAACCCAAAATGTATCCTCACAGAACAATCATCTCATGTTATAAAAATTATATTCACTATTTCTGCGGCCTCCATCAATCTTTAGGTAGCTGCTATGGCTGTGATGTCATTACAGATATCTATCAGAACCTACTAAATGAAAGTCTCACAGATAGTGAGAAGTGCTAGGGAAGCGGAAATTAACTCCATGGTGTATAGATATGTGTGTGCTTTTAACAAGCTTGCAAATATCATGGAAGATTGAGTGTTCATTTAACCAACTTTCCTTGCAAAGGTTATGTAGAACAGTAAATTCATGTATAAAATTCAACCAAAAGGGTACAATACTCCTTGAAGTAAACAGCAGAAACAGTAAATATGTATATACATGTGTGTATATGTATATGGATGTATATGTATATATACACTTATATGTATATATGTATATATACAATACAGATATATACACATATTTACTGTATATATGTATATATACTTATATGTATATTTATGCATATATACACATATATATACAATACACACGTCTGTATACATGTATGTATACTTATATGTATGTGTATATATGTGTATACATATATATGTGTATATATGTGTGTGTGCATATATATATGTTATTTTAAGCCAGAGCCTTGCTCTGTTGCCCAGGCTGGAGTGCTGTGGTACAATCTCAGTTCACTGCAACCTCTACCTCCTGGGTTCAAGCGATTCTCTTGTGGGATTACAGGCATAAGCCACCGCGCCCAGCTGTGTATATAATTTTTATAACATGAGATGATTGTTCTGTGAGGATACATTTTTGAAATGATGTAAATAATGGGAAAATATTTGATATATACTTATCCTAGACCATTTTGGGTTAAATGCATTTACTACGGAAGCCAAGATTAAGCTACATATGCATATTGGGTTGTTTACCCATAGGAATCTTCTGTAGGAGGGATCTCCTTGTCCTTTTCTTGAAGTCCTAAGCTCAACAAAGGAGAATTATAGGTACTGATAATGGAAGGAAATGTGCCAGCAACTGCCTGCCTCCCAAATCCAGTTTAAAATGTTCATGAGTTACAGAGATAGGACCACTGCAATGATGCAATATGTGCTCACTCCTCTATGTCCAGATGAGATGTGCACAAAGCGGTGAGGTATTTAGATACTTTACCTAACACACACACTAGGTTCCATCAATTCCCTCTTTATAGAGTTAGTTTTGAGAAACAGGACTGAATAGCCCATGTTTCAAAATAATGTTACTGAGTTAAGTTTGAACATGATTAAAACCTATGTAATAAAAAGCTATGTTGAAATATCATGAAATAACTGAATTAGTTCATGATTTTCTGTATTATTTCTAAATGTATTCACACAAATTGAGGATCTGGTAAAAAAAATAGCTGTTTATAGAATTTTTGTTTTAAGCAATTGATGGAAAGATCTTTTTGTTGACTTAGATGAACATAATCAAATTTAACCTTAGAGCCCCACAAAATGACAAAAGTGTAAAGATATTGCTTCTCTGATGTAATCAATGCACAAAAATTGTATGTAAGACTGAAAACTTAATGGTGTTTTCGCTTCTAGTTATTTTTCTGATAGATAAACTGTGTCTGGGTGTCAAGAATTGTGTTTTGATAGCATTAACCCACTCCAAATGTATGGATGCAAAGTAGAAAAAAGCTCAAGTACTTCCAAACATATTTATTTTTATATTATATAGATCAAACATCTGAATGATTAACAACCACTTTTCTTCAGACTTTGGGGTGATACAAAATAGCTATATATATTTTAAAATGTGATATTGCCTGGAGACTCATATTGTAATACACTATTCCAGTTCTAAGTTTTACTCACTTCTGAGGAGTACGAAGGTCAAGGATCGTTTCCTGGATATCAATTTGAATATCAGAAGGGTTTGTATTTGGCAGTTTAATTTTAGCCTGAGAGAGAAAATGAGAAGAAAAATACTGTTATCTCAGAGAACAATTAATTTGAAGAATGTAATAATACATGGGGAGAAGAGAATTAATATTTATTAAGTGCCAACTATGTGCCAGGCTATGCCCTATCTTTATGCCAGTCTTGGGAAGCAGAGATTATTATTCCCATTTTACAGATGGAGAAACTACAACAAAGAAATTTAGTGAGCAGCCCAAGGGCAACCTCCTGTAATCTGACTAAGGTTTCTGGCTGCCAAGCTATACAGAAACACTTTGGTTACTTGCCTGTACCCTTCCTTCTCTGAAGGTACACAGCAGTATACCTGTTAGAGTTGGGGACCTTCTACTGCCTTTGTATCAGTTGGCAATTAGTATAAAAATGTTTAGTTCCCATGTTGGGTAACTTGGTGATGCCATCTTACAGTCTTCTGGTATAAATTTCCCTACCACATTTTTGAGGGAGGTGTGGGAGTTCACGTGCTATGTTATCGAAACTAAAGAGAAATAACATTATGTTTCCCACCTCCCCAAAAAGACTACTTATTGGTTTAGTAAGATTTCACTTTAAATGTCACATCTCAATTACCACATGGCCCAGCAATTCCACTCCTGGGTATATACCCAAGAGCACTGCAAACAGGTTTTCAAACAAAAACATCTACATAATGTTTTTGCTTATAGTAGCCTTACTCATAATAGCCAAAAGGTGTAAGCAACCGAAATGTGCATCAAGTGATGAATGGAAAAACAAAATGTATTGTATCCATACAATGGAATATTATTCAGCCGTAAAAAGGAAAAAAGTACTTTTACATGGATGAATCTTGAAAACATTATGCTAAATGAAAGAAACCAGGAATAAAATGTCACATATTATAGGATTCTACTTATATGAAATGTCCACAATAGGCAATTGTTTTTTGTTTTTTGAGACAGAGTCTCACTCTGTCACCCAGGCTGGAGTGCAGTGGTGCAGTCTTGGCTCACTGCAACATCTGCCTCCCAGGTTCAAGCGATTCTCCTGGCTCAGCCTCCTAAGTAGCTGGGACTACAGGTGTGTGCCACCACACTCAGCTAATTTTTTTGTATCTTTAATAGAGACAGGGTTTCACTGTGTTAGCCAGGATGGTCTCAATCTCCTGACCTCGTGATCCGCCTGACTCAGCCTCCCAAAGTGCTGGGATTACAGGCATGAGTCACCGTGCCCCACCCACAATAGGCAAATCTATACAGACAGAAAGTAGATTGGTGGTTGTTGGGGCCTGGGGAAATGAAGAAGAGGGTAGTAACTGCTTAATGGGTATGGGGTTTCCTTTAGGGTTGATTAAAATGTTCTGGAATTAGATATTGGTGACGGTTGCACAATATCATGAATATACTAAATGTCACTAATGGTAAATTTTATACTATGTGTATTTTTACCACAACACAAAGCCTATCTCTTACTCTATATGTTTTCTCTTTTTGATGGAAGTTGATGTCTATATATGAGATAGCATGGCATATAGTTTCCAAAACAAAGAAATGAAGAAAATGCACCCTAAGGTTCAGGTAAATTATGAAGCTTTCTCTAAAATGAGCTGGAAGACTTGAAATATTAGACATCTGGTGAATTCATGGCTCCAATGGCCAGAGGGAAAGCAGCAAGTTATGAGAGAAATACATATCAAATAAATAATGCGACAAATTGAGATTTCTTATAAGAAGCTTAAAGTAGGCAATTGTGTTTTTGCAATATAATGTATTTGGAGCAATACAGACATGTATTTATTTATTAATTAGTTTATTAAATAAATATTTTAGTTTATTAAATCTGTATATAAACAAAGATTTGTAAATAGAGCTCTACAGGTGCTACTATCTAAATACTATGGTTAACATTTTCTTTCAACAAAGAATTGCCTCCTAATTTATATTTGGAAAATTCAAATCTTCATAATTAGAGACATTACAAGTGAGAGAAGTATGGTTCTCAGAGGGTAGTTATAGGTGCTTTGCCTCAAAGTAAATAAGCATTCTATTTGACAAATAAAGCCCCATTTTTACTCTAATACTCAGGTCTGATAGTCAAGTTGAGATGTTCTTTAATGTCTCATGTTAACTCATGTCACCTCGAAGAAGAGACACAAATATTTGTTTCTTTAGCCTGAAATGTTTAGAATTTTCATGGCAAAATATTGTTTTTCCAGTGTTAAAATGCCAATTGAGAAATAAAAAAATCATGACATGTAAAATTTAGATACAATTTCTGGGTAGAACTTTAAAGTGGTTCTTAAAATCATTTGCTGTTCTAGGGAATGGCAATTCAGAAACAACTCAATAATTTTCTTTTTATGGAAATTAAAATTATCTACTACAATGGTTTCAGAGGAGAGACAAGAGTAAAGACAAATTAGGTGGAATTGCACGCAGTAATATCTTCCAAGATAGAAGATTCAATGAAGAATCTTAATAGAAGAACAACACCTGAAACATGCATGAGATTTCTTCAGCAATACTTTAAATGAATACCTGGAATATAGACATGGATATTAAATGATCTCTAACTGATTGCGCTCAAGACCTAACTTGTTAAACATTAGTAAACATACGATGATGTCACCGACCAAACAATTTAAAGGGATTGATGTTCCTCTCTTTACTTAGGGTGCAAATTGAATTCGTTTTAAAGAATAAGTTATTTTAATAGGTAAACTAAGAAAAACTTTAAAAATTCATTGGGAAACTTTTAACCATTTGGGAGCTCAACTGTTAGAATCAAGTTTAGGTTTAGATTCTGGTTCTGTTACTTTTTAAAAATTAATTATTTATTTTTTGAGACAGGCTCTCTGGCACCCAAGCTGGAGTGCAGTGGCGTGATCATGGATCGCTGCAGCCATGACCTCCTGGGCTCCAGCAATCCTCCAGACTCAGTGTCCTGAGAGGCTGGGGCCACAGGTGTGCACCACCACACCTGGCTAGTTTTTAAATTTTTTTTGTAGAGATAGGGTCTTGCTATGTTGCTCAGGCTGGTCTCAAATTCCTGGGCTCAAGTGATCCTCCCATCTCAGCCTCCCAAAGTGCTGGGATTACAAGTGCAAGCCACTATGCCTGTCCACTTATTATTTATTGTTTACTGGTTATCTATTATTGCATAACAAATTATACCCCCCAATTTATAACTCAAAACAACAATAAACGCTTATTATCCCACATGTTTTCGTGGATCAGGAATTTCGGAATGGCTTAGCTAAATTGTTCGGGCTTAGGCTCTATTATGAGATTGTAGTCAAGATATTGGATGTGGCTGTAGACATCTGAAGGTTTGACTTTGACTAGGATGGAAGGTTTGACTAGCATCTTCATCTAAGATAGCTTACTCACATGGCTGTTTGCAAGGGGCTTTAGCTCTTCACCAGATGGGCTTCTCCATAGTGTTGCTTGAGTGTCCTTAGGATACAACAGCTGTATTCTCCCCAGAGTAAAGGATCCAAAAGATCAAGGCAGAAGCAATGCCTTTTTTAGAATGTAGCCTCATAAATTACACTTTTTTATAAAAAAAAAATGTATTGGTTATACAGGTCATCCCTACTCAATAGGGAGGGGACTACACAAAAAGAATATCTGGAAGTGAGAATTATTGGGTGCCATGCTGGGAGCTAGTTACCCTAGTACCCATCATTAACTTTATTTCAAACATCTGCCTCTGGCCTTGTAAATAAAAAGTAACAGGAAAAAAAGTCCATAATTTAAGATTAGGGAGATCCCTTCTTCCTACTTTCAGCTTCTCTTCAGGCTAGTAGTAAAAACTACTCAGTCTCTCTCTGGGAATTTACTTCAAGGCTTCCCTCAAGAGAGGTAAAGGTAGGTTAAAGTGCTTACAAGTTGTTTTCACGGGCCTTCATTTATTGTCCTCCATGTGTTGTAAGACAGTTGACTTACTAGGGCAGTCATTATTGAGTGATTATTATTGTGAGTTTGAAATCTCTTCTTTCCTGTCTTGTTCTTATGAGAGATTTATATGACAAGATGGTTCCTGAAAGGTCATATTCCTACAATTTGTAAGTGATTAACAGGCTTCTCAGCTCCTCAGATGAATATCTATGATCATATTATAAGATGTTTGAAACTTGACAGGAGAAGTCCAAATTGCAGGTGGTCCATGGAGGTCATCCATTCTAAGTTTCTTCTTGAATTGTCACTTCATCACCAAGAGGAGGAGAATAAGTAAAAAATATCTTATAGGTAACTTGGCCAGAACTATTTACTGATATTTCAGTGAAGCAGCTTCACTATTTCAGCAGCTTCACTATTTCAGCAGCTTCAATGAAATATCAGTAAATAGTTCTGGCCAAGTGAAGCTGCTTCACTGACGGGTTTGGACTGACACTTTGGAAGATATTCTAAATTAATTTATTTATGGGTTTTAGATATTGTAAGAATATTTCTATTTGACAGAAATACAGCAACCACTCCTTATACATTTGATTCTTAGGAAAGAAAACGATTTGAGTTCCCATTTGAAACTTAACAATATTAGGAAATTTTGATTAACAGAAAATGTTTGGCTAGATTTCATTCTGAATTGCTTCAATTGTTAAATTTACCATTGTTTATGGAAACATGTATGAGATATTTTTTCACTGCAGACATACTAAATATTTTATAAAAACTCTCATGAACTACGATAATCTATAGGAAAATTTTAAAAGGCATTAGATCTCTGCTTTGAAATTATGAAAATATTTACCTCTGAAGCATAAAATATAGAGGTATGCATTGTACAAAACTAGAACAAAAACCCAGTAGGTCATGTTTTTAAATTAATGGATAAGTTTTGATAATGCTACCATTTTGAAATAGTCCAGTACTATATTGCCACACCTGTCTTTTTAAAAATGGTTCATAGATGCATGCCTCCTCTCCATCACAGGAGTCAAGAGTAAGCTCAGCTCACTCTGTAGAAAGAACATTCATCTACAGGCATCCATATCTCCACTGGCACTCACCCTCTCCCCCAA